TCAAATCGTATGGTAGCAGTCCAGAAGGGTTTAGTAAAAATTCCTGTGGATAATGAACTGCGTTTTCGATATTAGTCACGCTGTCGATTGATTTGTAATTTTTTATTTGTCCAGGAACTTTTTGAATAATCAGATTATTTCGTTGACAGTAACATTCTTAGGTAACACTATTACCCTAGATGACAACCAATGAAAGCCTTTTTCGTACAAATTCTCGATATGCATATGTCAGGGTATGCAGCATCTATCAAAATTTCTAAATTATGGACGATTTGACCTAGGGACTCATCCAGAAAGATATCACAATTTCTGTTTAAATTGGTAGTGGGAAAAATTCCTTCCCTAAGTTTGAGCAGTTGTTGTGGGAAATCACTATCTGTGATTCCATGATTATGAGCTCTCGACACTCATATTCGTCTGTAATTTTAAACTTTCAATTAAAGTTCATAAGGGAGACGATGTTAATGATAGGGAAAGTCTGTCAGAAATCTAAAGCAAATACAAAAGTAATACCGCCCATGAGAGCAGAGTGTTTCTAAGATCTTTTAAGGTTCTATCCAAAGCCTCATTCATCAGCCTTCTATCCATGGCTCATGGTGCATTTATCCCACATAATCAATGAGAGATCTTGACGCTCCTACGTAGCATTTGGTTTATAGTTAACTGAGCGGGTTTTTTTTAATACTTACATTGTTAAATACGTGATATCTTTCGAATGGAATGTCCGAATTGAATAATTCAAAAAGTTATATACAGGTATTGAAGCAGTTGTTAATATGAGGTTATTTATTTTGATAATGATTAATACCAAGATACAAAATAAGGAGGCTTTTCTAGAGGTGGCACTTCATTTAATTAAAAAAAAAAACATACATATGCCGTCGCGACACTTCTTATAGATAATGATGTGTTCAAAGTTGTGGTACATCATTTTATTCTATCATCAATATTTTTTGCAGCGCATGCGGTGTTAGGTATTTTTTGTGTAATTTATTCACACCTTGGGTTACATTATTGGAGATTTCGTAAGGATTCCTAATTATTTTGGAAATATAATATAGCCTATGATACTCAGGGATAATGTAGCTTCGTGTTAGTGAAAGAATTTTTCAAATCGATCCAGTAGTTTCGGAGCCTATTCAATACAAACAAACAAACTTTTCCTCTTTATAATATTAGTATGGTAAAGAACAATTGATAAATGACATCTTGTTGCCAGCTAATTAGAGTTTATGGGTACTAATAATGTAAAAAGTACTCAAATTAATTTTTATTGTAAAATAAACATATTAATATTATTAATTAAACAAATTATATAAATAAAATTGGAGTGTCTGTTTATAATATTGAAATAACCGTTTTTTACTTGGTACAAGCACCAAAAAAATAAATATTTTTGGTGCTTGTTTACAATAGTTTACAATTTTTGTCTGTCTGTCTGTCTGTTTGTTCCGGCTAATCTCTAAAAGGGTTGGACCGATTTTGACGGGCCTTTTTTTGCAGGTAGCTAATGTAATAAGGAGTAACTTAGACTACTTTTATTTTAGAAAAATAAAGTTATAATCCACGCGGGCGAAGTCGCGTGTACAGCTAGTTTATAATATACATAGAAACAACCGAGACCAATATAAAAATTCATACTCATAAATACAAATGATTTGTAATCAATACAAATGTGTGTATCATGCGAGGAATCGAACCTGCGACCATGGAAATAACGTGGTATTATGCCGCTAGACCACTGAGGTCATCATGTTGTATTTGAATAGTGAAGTATTTATATAATGAAGGTCACCCACCTGGTACACGGGACTCGGATTGACCAGCGGATGACGCTTCATGCCGCGTATTAAGCTAATGCCGGCTTCCGGCTGCGAGCGACGCGGCACGCCCCCGCACATCTCTATTCGCTTATTTTATTATACGACTGCCATTTATATTTCACTTACTGCTCTCTTGTGTCTTTGTCTGCTTTTCTAAGATAAAAGATTGCCTACATCTTCATGGTGTTATATACCTTCTTATTATTCTGCATTTAGCTTTTTATTATTTTATTTATTTCTTTATATATTTATTTATTCTTTTGCACACAAAAATGGCGAACTAATGCCTAATGCCTACACCTACCATTCAAACGTCGCGTTGATCAGAGATAAGAAGGCGGTGCACTTTAATAATTAAAATAAAAAAAAATAAAAACAAATAAATATAGAAAAAATACATATGCAAATATATAAACATATTAATACATGTTTAGTAGTCTAACAGAATGTAAATAATAAACAGATGTGAAAAGCGCATTCGTATTTATAATATTATTCACATTTTCCGTGTTTTTGCAACATTTTTTCATTACAACTCCGCTTTTTTCTATTTGTAGAAGAATTTTCGAAATGGGTTTGAAGATCCAGACATTACCGTCTACGACATTCACACAAACTTGACCTCTTTGTAATATTAGTTATCTATAAAGATATATCCTCGGAGTTTTTAAAATGTAGTATCTATAAAAATGTTTTAAAACCACAATGTTCAATATCCACGATCTTAAATTTAATTCAGATGATTTTCTATGCGTCGTTGAGCTAATACTTATATTTTAGAGTATGTCGTAATCATTATATTAGTACGTAAAGCAAAACAAAACATAAACCCCCTGTTAAAGGTACGGGAAAAGAAGTCCTAAAAGCATATAATTTTTTAGTAATGCTTAAAAATATTATAGAAATATTTAATAGAAATAATAAAAAAAAAAGTTAAATTTCACGCGAATTAAGTAATAGGTAATACGAAATAATTACATAACTACTACACTACTGTGTTTGACATATAGGTACACACATATCTGATCAGACTAAGAGTCAGCAATGGCTGACCGACGCCGCGGCGCGACGTAGAGATTTGGCAGAAAGACAATATTAACTGTCAAATATTTCTTTCCAGGAACCTTCAGCTGTCGATTCAGTATGTAATATTTTACAACAAAAGCTTAATAGTCTACAGAATTAAAATATTATTGAATTTATTCTCGCCAATACTATGCATTATATATTTGTGTATACAATATGCTACTGAACTATATATTTATAGTTCCTAGTATTGTTGCTCAAATTCTTATTAATGTTATAAATGCTAAAGTTTGTGAGTATGTAAGTGTGTTTGGATGTTTGTTACTCTTTCACGCAAATATGTAATATAGCGCCGACGCCAAAACAGACATATTTTGATTTGTTTTCAAAGTTCTCAATGAAACTAATTTCAAATTGTTATTTTCTAATCTCTAATCCATAAGTCTGGAATGCAAACACAGCCAAGAATTAGCAATAAACTTCGCAAGTGTTACTTTAATTTTTAAAATAAAACTTTAATTTGAATGAAGATAATCAATGCAATGATGTCATTCAGCATAATATGTATATATTGTCAAAACATTGGCCGTAATATCACTTGGCCGCGGTTTCTAAATGACACGTGACACGGCAGCCCAACAACAACAATACACATGCACTTTCGTTTGCATTGACAGTGTGGAAATTGAATTTTGCTTTTTTAAATCACTACCCAGCGTGTTTTTTGTTTTTCTTCACGTTATTGTTTATGGATTCCATTGATGTTTTAAATGAAAAAAACCGTTTTTTTTATGAATTCATGATGCCGCGGTGATGTCCGCAGAACTATTCATGTATATAGACAGTCGTCACTGGACAGTTGGACCGTTAGCAAGTGCCATTCTGGATAATTTACAAAATGAAAATAATGAAATTTTTTAAAGTATCCAGACTATTGTTTATGTAATAGAATGATCCCAGAGCGATGGACGATAATTATTTGTTGAACAACACATCTAACATTGGTTAGAGTTAGTAATATTTACTATGACTGTTAGCCTATCTGCTAACTTAGTTTAACGACAATTTATATGTGCTGGTAATGAAGCTACGTAAAAACGTAGCTATCGTCACTTGTGTTTATAGTATAGTTATAGCCAGATATATATAATATATGTCCTCGTGAGTACTAAAAATTTAAACTGCATAGTCGCACTAACAGTTACCTGTTAGTACAACTTAGTTCGGCTTGGTGGGGGGACACTACTGTGCCAGTTGGAAGCTATTATTTTTACCACAATGGTTATAATTCTTATTTTTTTTTATTATAGGATTTGGTCTATTACTTGGTGCTTATACCTGTAGCACTACGACGTGTATAGATCTATTGTGCTCGCCCTTTTTTAGAGTTCGCTGCCTAGACTCGTCAGGGACAAGAATTTAATTCTTTTCCTTGACAGACTTAGCGAGACTTTACCTACATGGGAGATATTTCGTTTTTGCTTGAGTGAGCTACAACCACATAGGATGTGTTTGGTCATTTCTGCAATTGTTAACTACATACCAGCTCAGGTTAGCCATGTGATTTTTTAATTTGCATTGACCAGTGAGGACCAGAATCATGATACATATATTGTTTTTATACAATAGCAATAGTCTATTAGAGTATTAATTCTAGTAGCCCGTCATTAGGGCTTTTGAATGTACCAGTCCTGGCATTTTCTGCCAGTGATTTAGTCCTTCTTAGTTACCGGTATCATATGCTATTCTGGGGTGAAAGAGTTTGTTAACCCAATTACTAACAATATACTATATTAGGTTCACCTCACAGGGTTTTGCCCTGGAAACCATCATGATAAATGCCAGGTTATTTTTTTACGATGGGCTAACTCATCATCATCACTAACATCATCCTCAATTATTGTTCTGCCTGCGTAAACCGCACAGATGAATGCGACTTTCCATTATCATTCATAAAAATATGCTATTCTTTTCTATAACGATAGGTATAATTAAAATGAAAACACCAGTTAAAACATCACGTCCGTGGTCAAATCGAGCAGCATAATAAATTGGCTATGCGACATATTTCCCTTATGCCGGATGTAGTCAATTTGGACGTTGTGCTCGCGCAGGCGCGCCGTCCGCAGTCACTGGAAGGCCACAGTGAAATGATCATCACGGAGCACCGGAAACCAGCAGTAACAAGACAACATCGCATCATCGGACCATCCTATTCTGAATTTGTGTCGGGTTAATACATATTAGAAGAGACCACCGCAACACTGTACATTACATCTGTGACGGGTTAACAATCTTTATTAGAGATCATCGCGTAATTGCACCATCTAATGATAAATTAGTGACGAGTTAAGATATTGGGAGGATAGTGAAAATGTAGTGCGCCTGATTTGTGTTGGAGGCGGTTTTTATAGTGTGCTAGTGGTATCACTGCAATGTGATACCACCATTAAACGGTCACCACGGAAAACGTCAAGAAAGATACAAAGCGACCGAAAAGGAGACGCATCTCCGATATGAGGTGAGACTCCCACATATTAAAAACTAATTATGACACGCGATTTTGCCTGCAGTTTGAAATAAAAGGTAGCCAACGAGGGCGTCATATGATCTATCTACACATTAAATTTCATTAAGATATGTTTAGCCGTTTAACAGTGAAAATGTAACAAACAATTTAACAGCCGTTTGAATTTATAATACGTCTCTTCTCTTCCGGTTGCTGTACCCAACAGAGTCCATACTGATCAATCTGTTATATCGAGCTAATGGATGTAAATATCATATATCAGAGTAATTACTGTAACATTATGAAATGCAATGGATAAATAAATAGAAAAACATTTTTATTTACCCTCCATACCATAATACCAAAAGGCATTGTGGCAACACAACACAGCAACAGACAACAAAGCAAGGGAGGGAACTACCGCCATCTCTCGGATTAATTCTAGTTTGAAATCGTAATTATAAGAAAATAATAAATCATACTTTTATAAATTACTAACTAACCGTTAATTAAATACTGTATAAGATAGCCATTCTAGTGATGCACTATATCTATGTATATGACAACGGTAACAAACGTACAGACACACGTGAAAATTTATAGTATTAGTATATATAAATAGTAATTTTTCAAAGCAAATCAGACGTCTGAATAATAAATTTCACACAAAAATTATTCTAAGGAAAATATAGCTTCTAGCTGTACATAGAATTCAATATAACTCTTTACCAAACATTATCTTAATTCAGCGATGTGGGGCAGTAGAAGTAGCCGGATAGTTGCCACTTACCGTCACGGTATTGTGGACAGTTCATTTTAGGAAAAGGAAAAAACTATTTTTTTTTTTGGGTTGATAATGGAATGATGCACCCACCTGCGCTGACGGTTTACGCTGGCGGGGCACCAGTGGATGATGATAAGATGAGCATGAGGTCAGGTTAGTTAGCCCATCGTGACAAATTTACCAGGAATTTATCACGATGGTTTCCAGGGGGAACCGCGTGGAGGTCAACCTGACATGGCACAGGAAAAAACTATTATATCAATGAACAAAGTGTTCTCCTCCGTGCGCTTTTCCAAAATATTTTTTTCCCGCACTCACAAGGATTAGTGAGTGCGGGCCAAAAAAATGGCAAATCGGGACAATCTCCTGCTAAATGTACATCCGAACCGATATTACACTAAAAGGCTAGGCTTGTGGCGGCAGTAACCTAACCATCAGGATATCCACAGACACATATTCCGCTCTCAAAATGTAAAAAAATCTATTAAATATTACATAAGTAGAGGCCAATTCAGACTTTGTCTGGGTTGAACGTCACAATTATACAAATCTTTAAAATTACGGATTTTGAAACGATATTTTTAATAGATAAAGTGATTCTAGGGGAAGATTTATATATATAATACATATACACCCGTGCGAAGCCGGGGCGAGTAGCTAGTTTTATATATCACAACAATCTAGTATTGTATATAACACCCAATACCATTCATACCATTTATTATTTATTAGTATGTACATTTGTGTCGATCAGATTGTATATGTATGTATTTAGTAAATCTTTATTGTTTGTAAATATATATTGTTATTTAATCCTCTGCATTAAGGAATACAGATAAATTGTTTAAACAAAAAGCCCTGCACTAAACTCAAGGCTTTTGTTTCATCGAGGTCATTTTACATAACATAATTAAACTAGTGGTCGCCCAGTAGTCGAGTTACGACAATAATAAATTTAAATTATAGGTTTGAAAATTATTAAGGTTCTATTGTAAAATACTATAATACGTGTGTGTGTAATATAAGTAAGCGTGTGTGTGTAAAATACATGGTAGTGTGTGTAATATTTTTTAAATTGATTAAATGTATTTTTAAGCGTAATTTAAAAATATATTTAACTTTCGTACTAGTTCTCTATATAAACTATATGTGTGCGAAATTTCAAACTCCTCCCTCTGCACAAAATTTGTAAATAGGGTTACAATGTTTTTACTTAACGTCTTAATATAACACAATAGTAATATTTTGTGTAAGTTTATTAATATGAGTTTTTCTTAGTGTAGATGTGATATCAGATCGCCAAAATTTAGTCAAATTTTGGCGAACTGCCTAAAAGGCGTTAAATCGTTCTTTTTAGGAATTACTATTATTGAAAATTGAAAAAGTAGTCCCTCTTTAAAGTAACCGTTTAAACAAGCGTTTATATATAATATCTGTTCACTGGCCTTCTCTGGTCAACGATCTCCTCTGGCGATGTCAATGAAAAGTAAAACCTATAGGATCTTTGTATGTTCAACGTTACACCGGATGCTGCACGTTCACATATGTATCCCTGTTGTACACCAATATAGGTCACTGATAACGAGCGCGTATTGTGTGCCCACCCACTAACAAACCGAACACTAGGTGACGGCTCTATAAAAACGGACTAGTCCCCACACCGGCACAACACTAGTCATATCTGTTATGTATTTATTTCAATTTTATTGAAATATTTATTTGAGTTACAATTTAACGTATCTGTCTCGCGGGTGTCATACATATTACTTATGTGTGTGAGTGAGTCATAATACATTATTATATTGTAAATACTATATATTTATAAAAAAAATGTTACAATTCTGAGATAAACTTTAAAGGGTGAGTGATAATAACTCTTTGAACATGACAAATGGTAAGTGGAATATATGAATAAAAATCGTCACTATCGAAGATAAATGTTTTCAAACTGGTCTTTAAGATTAAATCCTTTCTATTTAAACTCGGATATAGTGGTAAACATATCCGCAAAATTATCTAACTTAAGATTATTATGTGGTATAAAAATATTATATTTTTTAATTTTATAATTGAGTATAACATATATACAACCGACAGTAAATACATACACAGACACGTCAAATATCTAGGTGTATAGTACATCGGTGCAATGTTATGAGTTCCTATAAAACCTGTTTTAATGTTCATGGCAGGAAAATCATTAAAACTTTGAAGCTTGTTCCGTTTCAAACTAGTTACATATGAATTACAATGTTGTAATACACACGGCTCTAATGGTCCAGCGGGTTAGCACGCCATTTTACTGTTCCGATTCCTCGCACAATGTGAAAAATTGTATACATAAGTAGGATTGTGTTGGATTGGTTTTTTATTTTATATAATGTATGGACTTACTAAAGCAAATGTATTTAAATATATCTTATAGCTGTCTAGTACGCATAATACAAACTGTGCGTTTCTTGGGACTACATGCTGGTTGATTATGTTACGTCAAGTTAAAGGGTGCAAGGGTGATGACACCTTCGTCCTCCAGAATGGCAAATAGTTTGTTATCGATATTTTAATATTTTGTTTTTTCGCAGGGTTGACTTGCGGGGTCTGAAGTGCGTATCGGCGCTCCGTAAAGCTGCGATGTACGAAAGCAGTTGTTCCTACGCCGGCGCTCTAGAATTGAAGCGAAGTGCCCTCAAAGAGGAACCCTGGCCCACAACAGAATGGTCTCCTTACCGCTTACATCAATCCACTTTCGAGCAGCTAAAGCAGAGTGTAGAAAAAGCAAAAGCAGCCTTACAGGACAGATCGGGTCTTCTTGGTACAGCGACGGCTTTCGGTGATTTCTATGGAGGACAGTTGGCACAAGATGGGACGGGGGCTACTTTGGGGTTTGGAAGGACAAGGACGGACGAGTCAATGCTAGGCACTATTGATAAAAATAAAACATTAGGTAAGTTATTTGTGAATACTGATTAATAATATTTATTTATATCAAAATAACAGTTTGCTTTCTTTAAGAAACTGCAACATAGGTATTAACAATCCGTGCTATTAATATCTATGACAATTAAACAAAGTGATCAGTTGGGTACATTAACACTCTGCCTAAGTCTGCACTAAGCGTAAATTGTATCCTAGGTATTACCTATTAGATTTGGATAAAAAACGATACATAAAAAATGAAATCAAGTCAAATTAACCTCTTCCTTATAGCATATGAAACTATCAAGTTTATTTTACTGCGTTAATAGAATTTTCAACTCGTTAAAATTTTATATAAACCGAAATTAATAAATATAGCATCACAGTTGTACTTCTATATAAGGTAGTAAGAGACATTGTCAGTGAGTATATTTGAGTCCAAGTGGCTAAAGGCTAAGATTCCGCCGGTTTTCAATATTTTTCATCATCAACTAAAAATTTAAATTAACAAAAATGTTTATTCATTTTTCCAATTTCGACTCACAATCTGTGTGACTAGGAAGCAGCAATAGTTAAGACCGCAACGCTCTTTAGCCTGTAAGTAATCAAAGTCAACTTTCAAAATTAATTTTGAATGTTGACGTTGTATGAATATCTATTTCAGTCACTTGTATATTTATTATCTATTGTCTTATATTTCTATTATTTAATAAAGGTTTTAAAGTACTGAATTTTGCCATATTTGTGAATATATACATATGGCGGCACAACAACACGTTGTCAAAAAACAATGTATTCTAAACATAAATGTTGACAGTAATAATTTTCTAATAGGTACTATTACCGTTTGACGTGACTATACAATTATCTTTCAGGATAACATTTCAAAACAAACACAAGAAAACATTATCGTTATGTCTATTAAAATATAACATTAGTGATATCATTGTAGTTACATTGAATTTTATAAATATTATAATACTACGTGTAAAAATCTATTCATGTATAAATTCTTAAAACTATATTAATGTAGGTAATCCTAGTTTTCATATGTATACCATTTTAGAAAGAGTAGTTTGTGAGGTTGCAGAAGGTAATCTCTGGATATACTAAACCGATTTTGAATATTCTTTTAGACTGGGAAACCATTTATCCCGCACGGCTATAGTCTATTTAACATAACGCTACGATACTAAAATACGCAAATAGGAGAGAGGCTGAATTAAAAATTATGCGTAGGTAAGTATGCAACTAGTAACAAATAAACAAATAAAAATAGTGTATGCCTTCCAGATGATAGATAATGTAAATACAAAATATACATGTAGCAAAATGTCGATTTAAAATACATAGTATCATAAAACAACAATACGCGGCAACTTCAATTTTTACACCCGCGCATTTTATATGGCGTCGTATTACAAGGTTCATTTTAACATCAATAGGAGATATCTCTTCACATGCACAGCCATTCAAAAAGAATAAGATCGATTCGCGACAAAGCAAAATGCTCACGCGAAAACAGCTCTTAAACTGTACATCCAAAAGTCGACGACGGCACAACTGCTCCTTGAACTTAAACCCTTTCAGATTAGCTTTCTGATGTAGGTATAAAGAGACGGAAGGCAAGGTGGGGAGCCAGCATCTTCGCAGATAACAATCGGTATCAGGGAGCGTGACGGGGGCGTGCGGGATTTTCCCCCATGGTTGCTATGACAACACGCCCGCCCACACCCCGCCCCTGAGATCAACGGGTCGCCACCAAATACTATTTTAGTTACGAAAACAACATTATGTTGCAAACTCTCCAGACTCACTTGGTTCTTGATAGGTGATCTCTTATTAAATAGTAAATCAGTTAGATACGACTTCTGAACTTTTAATATATTAAGGTTAAAAAATGATATTTTGTAGTAACATTTTTTAATATGGCGTTAATGCATTTTGAAACAAAAGTTTGAACCTTTTTAGTTTTAGTTACCTACTGTAATAGATTTATACCTTTAAGAAATTGTCGCAAACGTAATTGTGATAAGGATTTCCTGGTTAGAAGACTTGAAATATGGCTTTAAGATTGAGACGAACATGTTTGTTTATGAAGGGTGATTGATGATTTCGTAAGAGCTGTGTAAATACTGTACACTGTTACACAATACTTATCCTGGATTATTTACATATTTTATGTCTTTATTGATAGCAATTAACTGAGAATATAATTCAGAAATTTAGAAAAGAATGAAACTGTTTCTCATAAACTTCCCTTAACTGTTTGTCCCTTAACTCTAAGGTCTAACTGTTTAGCACACCACCTTACTTTCGATGGTTCGGTTCGGTATTTGTGTTCATTTATTTTTCTATATGTTTCGGTCTGGGTGTTTTCTGCGTGTATCATCTATGTATTTACAAAAACAAGTGCCTATGTACTTATATTATCTTTTAGTACCGATAACACAAGACTCTGCTTAGATTGGGACTAGATGGCGTTGTGTAAATTGTTCTGGGATATTATCAAATAATGATATTCTACTATTATTATAGCTTAGCTATAATTTTGAAATTAATTAAAATATAGTGTACATTATTTTTTATTTCCATAATGTTGCCAAAATAATCTCTAATTTCAAATCTATAGCATCAACATTTTTAATACACATATAACACCACAACACTTACGGACCGTTCCATTCCGGTTCCGTTTCACAGTTTTGTTTGGGAATCCTAAAAATATAAGTATCTTCACGGCAAACCATATAAAATTCCATAACTTTAAAAACTCAGGATCTCGAAATGAGGACCTTTTGTGTGCAAAGCGCAAGAGAACAGAGATCACGTCGACAAAGGGCTTCTCACGAAAAAGACAATAAAGTTTTCGCCATTAAAAAACGTCCACAATTCATAAAAAATGTAAATTGCGAGGTACGAGCGTCATTGTAAGTGCGGGGCACGCCGCCAGCGCCCTGCCGCCCGCCCGCCCGACAACTATAATGAAATAGACATTTTCACTTCATTCGATAGTCGTTCGCGTTTTTATTTCAGCTTTCAATGGACTATTTTAAAGGTCTGTTTCAGCTGTTCTTTATATATATCGGAAACTTTTGTACGTGCACTTTTGTCGTCTTTCAGTTTTAGAGGAAAAGTTTTAATGATGTTAATCTACAGATTCGAATAAATGCTATAATACTGACTGTTATTAAACTTTGGTACGAGTTTGTTTGTTCGTTTGCTTATTGTGCTTTCACATTTTTACGACTTAAAAATTCATTACAATATTTCGAATAGAAATACACACGACTACTTTTTCTCATGTTCAAAGTTAAATTAAAAATACTTATTGATCGAGCTCGACTTTGTTTTTAAAGAGGTATGTGTGGGTTTAGCTATTTTAGCTGTCAAGCACTACATTACCTCTGTCGTTTTAATTAGTAAAGTAGATAATAGATTTCGGTTGGAGATAGATATAGATATATGCTGGCAAAATTTAATTTTGATTGCCATTCCAATTAACTATATAAAAATAAATATTCATTTAGCACTACAACATTATATCCAAAAATGAATAGATTCACGTATTTCGACTCCTCTTATTTAATTCGCAGATCACTATTAGTACATGTATATGTATAGTACTAAACTGAAGAGAAGCTGATAATGCCTTACCTAACTAAAATGGTTTTCAAAAATTAATTTACTACCTATGCATCTCTTAACGGAATCTCAGCATTTTTTGATAAATAGCTCGGCCGAGCCAAGAATACTAAACAGAAAACCGGCAAACAGGAACGAATTTGCATAATATTCAAATAAGTGCAAAAATCCAGGCACCCACTGCTACGGGAGTCGAATAATCTTAGTCATTAAGAGGAACATATTAAAATTTATAAGCGCCAGGGGGCTGTAAAGAGCTGTTAACACGAAAATGATTATACTACGCCCTCCACGGTGGTTTGGGCCGTTTACCCTGGCTATCGGACCAAAACATCTACATAGTACAATTGTCATCAATTATGACTCCATACTTTAGATGGTATCGTGATAAAATATATATCAATAAATCATGTTACAACTGGCCTGATACGCGTATATTGATTTTTTTAATGTTTATTGCACAAGCGAAAGGGTGGGGCGTTTGTTGTTTTACAATTTATATTCATTAGCGTCCGCCGAGTGTGGGCCTGTCGGCGGACTTTGGTCAGTTACGCTCGTATCGTGTTAACAACTAAAATCGAAGCCGATTTGAAATTATTATTATTACAGGGGATTGAATTTTGTACCATTCACTTTGTTAAGTAACAGTACCAGTCAAATCTGTACCAGTAAACTGACTATACACCAATGCACTCACAATACAGCAAGTGATGGAAGCTTGGAATTTTCAAATAGAAACTGAACCTATTATTTTGCTTTTTTAAGTTTTAACGGGATGTTTGTAGCCTTGTTATCCTGATTTTCTAAACGACGCACAAGTCATGAGTTAAAGCTAGATTATGATTTATTTAAATAATTAAATAACAAATCTGAACTTATGATATTAGATCTTGATGCTATGATCTATCTGCAAGATACCAAAACTTATCAGTACATAACAATAGAATAGACTTAAATATCATTTATTGAATTTACACACCAATAATGGCATAACAAAACAAACAATAATTTACACATATTAAAAAGCTAGAAAAGTAGTTTTAAATGCTGATTTATTTTAAATTTGAATAATATCTAATGATCTAAACACAATGAAGGTATTTTCACTCCAGGGATACCTTAAAGTGTCGTGATGAGTGATGACATGACGATATTAGCCGATGACGCCGGTTCTCCCCGGAAAACGTGACTCATCAAATCATCAACGGACTTCCCGCTGCTACTGTAGTGTTTGTTCGACGCATTAACCATTCACTGGATGATTTGTCCATTTCTTAGTACCGTTGCTACGAAATCGAATAGCAATATAATATTAAAAGTTTAGAAATTAAATTATGCTCTATGACAGCCTAACCAACCATTAAGTAGTATATGGTAAATTTAAGTATTAAATTCATAGTTGTTAATTATAACGATGCTCAAATAAAACAGCCGGCCCAAATGGTTTCAAGTAGACCCATCTATAGAGACTATTTTTGGAGGAGACAAGATTCCCTATGTAGGTATTCACCTATTCTTACAAACATCTTATATGGGATAGATACTACTTTAGGTAACCATAATTATTGAAACATTAAACTTATTACTTACATTCTTTTATAATTTAAGATTAATTCCTGATAAGCTTGATCTTATAACTATAATAAAAATAGGAGTTAGAAATAGAGAAAATTGGGTGACATTAAGTAGATTATTTTTCAGCAATTTACTCTAGACGTGATGTTATTTCCAATAACATTACGTCCCCAATACCATATTGGTATATTCATACTTACACAATTTACCCTAGATAAGTATTTCAAGAACATGATTATCTTATAAACCTAGGTTAAAATTTGATATCAGTTCATTTTTAATTACTTGTTCGAAATCATTACGACGTTATTATGTAACAATCAATAAAGTAAACCACTCCTTAACAAACAATAAACTCAAACAAATAAAATTATTACTGACACTAGTAAGCCAATAAGCCAAACCGAGCACTCGACAATTCTCACAGGATCATCCCCTTTCAATAAGACCCTTCGCAAACAAACAATTATTGCACAATCAATGGCCACTCACGACTAGATAATGTATAAATCAGTGTTCATAATGCCGCGAACGCCAAGTGACAACTTAGTTTCGATGGCTGACAATAGATGGCGTTCTGGCACGCGACGACCGATGATGCGCCCGCGCACCCCGTAAACATTGCGCGTTTGTTATGGTGCGCATTTCATGGGAACCGTGATCTAAACAATGTACGCTTAATTGTGTATGAGCATCAGTAATGATGATACACCCCTCTCGTGCCGAGATTTATGCGTTTACCATGAGCATTCTAAAAATACCCTGGCGTATTTATTTTCTACAAATAAATTGCTACTAACATATTGCGCTAACTGTTACGCGGTGATAAATTACATTTTTTTTTAGCGTGGGAGAAGCATTATTACTTGTTTTTTATTTTATATTTTTTTAATATTAAAAAAATATAAAATAGTATATAGTAATAGCTATTTACCGCAACATTGTCTGTTTTTTTTTAGATAGACGGTAGCTTATATCCATGCTCATAATCAACACGGTGTCTTATTTCATTAAAATCTATTCAGCCGTTTAATCATGAAAGGTAACAAACACACAGATAGAGCAATTAAACTTTACCAATATGATTTTTAAGAAATTATATATATTCTTAGAAACCTTTTACTCCTTCCGCAATAATTAAAAGGTGCGTATTATTTTTTAATGAATGTTAATGGAATGGTGCTCCCTCTTGTCCAATATATAATGATTTACGCTGGCGGGGCACCAGTGAAGAATGATAAAATGAGCATTTTATCATTCTTCACTGGTTCGCTATACTGAGTCAACTGACCAAAACTCATAGTTCAGGTCAGTTAACTCATTGTGGCGAATACACCAGGAATTAATGAAGAACCGTGTTGAGGTTAGTTATTACTACCAATCTCTATTGGTAGTGGAGTGATTAGTCCATTTTACTAACAATTCTTCCCCCGCAATACTATTGAAATCTTGCTTTTAAATAAATTATTAATAGAAATAATATGTTTATCCGTCAGGCACAGAGAAATTGTCGGGAGGTCTCGGGAAAGGGTATTCCACGCCAACATTGTCTGATACATTGCGGGCTACAAAATGTACAGGTAAGTACTACATTCTAGTATACACCACAGATAATTTGCAAAAATTCGTCCGCGTGGGTACCCTAGTCTTGCCTATTTGAGCTGCCAACTAGCTTGCTTTGTAAAGGACTAAATACCCATAATCACAACGCATGAATGTTATCAGCTGTTCATGTATATAGCCGACCGCTTACCAGCGGTCAGCTTATTTGCTCTTACAGTTATATAAAAGAACACAATTATTATTTAAGATATTCCAAGTAGGTACAGCAGGTTCCAATCTAATCCATTTTCAACACCTGAAGGAAAAATAGGAGTGTTATACATTTTAAGTGACTGTCTGTGGTACAGTAACTTCTTACTTAGTTAACTTACGATGCAGTTTTTTTTATATGAAAATGGTATTGATCGATATGGTTCTTAACAACAATTCAAAAACTGTTACAACGCGTAAGTAAAGATGTATAACGAATTGCCAGACTGTATCAAGAATTAAATTTTATAAATATAAATCTAATTTATTTAATTTACCCGAATAAAACTTTTAGATGACATTAGTGAATTAATGACATTGAACAAATAAATATATCATCAATAGTTTTTTTTTAACTTATTGAAATTATTGCACAGTCCTTTGAAAGCACAATTAAGACTAAATCGCATAAATCGGTACCTAATATTGTAAATATTTCTTTCATAAAAGACGACATATTGAATTACGGTATTACATATACCATAATACGGGGCAAATGTATATTTAGTCAACGACCTCGATGGTCGCGTTTTCGATTCCTTGCAAGGTACAAACATTTGTAATCATGTGTATTATAGTTTGTATTGATTAGGAGTTTTATATGTATAATTATAAAAATAATATCTATAGGTATTTGTATCAGATGTTTAATACCCATAACATAAGCTCTACGTGTCTTGGGACTAAATGGTGCTGAGTAAATTGTCCTGAGTGATTATTATTGTTAAGTCGGGAGTATAAAGTGTTGCGAAATGGAGAAATCTCATTTCATTGGAACTTTATTAATTTCCATAGTATAGGAAGTATTTATTTTATTGAGAAAGTTGTGTGTACAGTGCCTCTTTAGTATTATTAAAAATATTTTTCTCATATTATTGTCTGTACATATAATAAAACTACAGTCACGTTTTTATCTGTATGTACAAGGAAGATATACGAGAAAAACTATTAACGTACGAAAACCCAAAACTATCAATATTGGAATTTTTGAGTCTATATTCTTGCTTAGCCTGCTAGTATCAGAAACATACATTGATAAGTAGATAAGAATCTTATTTGTATCTTCAATGCATACATATTGGTTTAATTACAAGCAGTATACATCACAGAATATTTAGAGCATGGTGTTATTTTATTTCAAACAATTCACTAACAAAAATATCGGCTGTAAAATATTAAGTGTATGTTTTAATAACATACACTTAATGCACTGACACGACAATTATCTCGAATTTCATTGTAAGAGTCATTGTCAATTATCCACTGCAATTGAAAGTAACTATTAAAGTACTAAGTTGTCATGCACACACTGTGCTGTGAGATTATTTAAATTCTAAATATTCAAGTAAGTGTATGGAGTTTTATATATAATTATTATTTACGTACATTTTAATTCGTATTATACTTATTATTATTGTCCTTCATCATTATATATATTATTACTGAAGACTTAAGTCTTGAAAAGATTGTCTTCTGTAATAAAACCACCTATACATGTGATCTTGAATAAGTTTTCTGTATTATTTTTTTACTGAATGTTACAAAAAGTATATTCTATTTGTCTATCTATGCATTATTATACCTAATACTATGAGTACGAGTCACGGGCTCAGCTAGTCATTAAAATTTCAATAAAACTAACCACGCGGACATGTAAGAACCGCCTATTAGCGACTCTAAAAATGACAATCTGATATAATTTTCATTCAAAGAGCGTGAGTAATGTGGCGTAGCGTACAATGGTGTAGCATTCAGCCGAGCCACCGAGCGAGATGAGTTCGGACAAGGCCCTCGCGAAGTTCACAGGCAACTTTTAATTGTGCCCGACGTTTGAGGTCCTTTGAGTTTGCGCTCCGGCGGCTGCACTTAGCCTTTGACATTCCCAAGTTAAATGCATGAACTATTTTTTGCAGATAGAAATCGTTTGGAAATTTCTTAAGCTCGATGGGGCTTGCGTTGGCAATTAGCTGTAACTGTAATATCGAAATTTCGACGTGATCTGCAGTTATCATGGTTGTTAATTATTGTCTGCTGCTACTTGAGATCTTTTTTTTTATAACACAGGGGACAAACGAGCATGCGGCTCACCTGATGGTAAGTGATTACCCCCGCCCATGAGCACCCGCAACACCAGAGGAATTGCAAGTACGTTGTCGGCCTTTTAAAAAGGAATAAGCTCTTTTCTTGAAGGTTTCAATATCGTATCGGTTCGGAAATACCATTGCTGGAAGGTGATTCCACAATGTAGTTGTGCGAGGCAAAAAGTTTCTAGAAAACCGTACTGTGGAAGACCGCCATTCATCCAGATGATCAGGATGGTATTTCAGTTTCTGGCGGGTGGTACGGTGGTGAAACTAAGCAGCTGGTATTAATCTGAACAATTCCTCAGAACACTCCCCGTGATATATGCGGTAGAAAATGCACAGAGATGCAATATCTCGCCGCAAAGCCAATGGGTCGAGTCTGTCACATAGACGTTGATTACCAATGATTCTGGCTGCTCGGTTCTGAATGCGGTAAAATGGAAGTAGCTGGTATTGTGGTGCTCCCGCCCAGAGATGTGAACAGTATTCCATATGCGGCCGGATCTGCGCCTTGTATAATTGCAAGCGATGGGCCGCCGTGAAATACCATCTTACTCTACGGAGCACACCAAGCTTTTTTGAGGCTATTTTAGCCTTGTCCTCCAAATGACCGCAAAACTGAACGTCACTGGATATATCAACGCCATGGACCTCGAGATTTGGCTTCACATCAAGGAGAGTGTCTTGAAACTGAGGAGATACGATAAATGGAATCTTTTTAGCGGTAACTTGAACTTCTATCTATTTATTACGATGAATCTCTCTGTGTGTAATTACAAATAATACAAATGTAAACTTCGTGAACAATATTTTGTACTTAGCAAATAAAAATGTGTCATAGTTGTGAATGCTGTTCTATCTATTATACTGAGTCTCATACTAAGTAATTAGAGAATAAACTAAATACTAAAAGTGAACTAGATGAACTATTTTTCCGTCTATTCAAATAGAAATTAAACCAGTACACTTAATAACTAATATTCAATCTACTTATCAAAGTATTGAAATGGATGCCTCATGATGTAGTCACAGAGAAGACTGCATAATGGTAAAAGCTCTAAACTATTGTTTGTTTTCGCAGATAGAGTCTGTATTTAGGTTATTGGAGTATATTTGAATAATAAATATAATACGCATAGTCTTAAATGGGCTTATTGAGTATAGCTTCGCTTTGTTTGTTTCTTCACTACTTTACTGTACATTAATCAAAGTAACACTACTGTTCATTTATATAAATGACGGTAGATACCTACGGTAGGTATCAATTTGCCATCATTAACAAATAACTTAAACATTTCACATTTAACTGCTCAGAATATAATCAATCGATGTAGAGTTACACATGATTATAACGCCGAACCTTTTCCTATTTAACATTGTATATTCATTTCAGTAATAAATAGGCGTACTTCAGAAAACGGCATAACGCAAAAATGCTCCGCAACTAACACGCGGCACGCGGCCACATGTAATGTTACTGTTGTAATGAAGAGCTCTCCAGATTCTATTGAGACCATTCTTTTCGATTAAACCCCTTTTAAAAGTAATTTTGGCAATAATAATAATAACATCAATATTAATACCTTTAAAAAGGACAATTCATAAAATGACGTTTAGTCATATGTTAAGCAAAGCTTGTGTTATTGGTACCAAGTAAGCAATAGAAATACATAATTACATTTTTTGGAGATATATATGCAATACTTAGGTACATACACAACACTCAAACTAATACAAACTATTTTATACTCGGTTATTATACTCGAGAATGGAAATAGATGTGTCGTGCGAAGAATCAAAACCTCGATTATTAAAAGTACCTACCACAATTTGTGTAGGTACTTTCGACAGTGCAAAAAGTCTCCTTCTGATTACTAAACTTACTACATTGATTAATTTCAACGTTTGAAATAGGTGACGTGACAAAGTATATTTTTTAAATAATAACTCAAAATTATAACCGATCTGTTCAGCATTGCAAATTCATTGTGTATTTTTTTTCACATAAAATTTGCATTTTCCGATTGCAAATTCCGTACACATCGATAAGGGTAATCTCTCATTACCCACGGACCGTCGTTCCGGTCCCTCGGCAGTCTATTAGATAGTCAATCATCCTGCCATTCAGTTCCGGCCGCGGCCGTGTCGGATCGTGAACTAAACGGGTGGGCGGCCGGCCCGGAGCCGTGGCTAATTCGTCGCGAATTAGTGCCACCTACCGGGAGCTGGGAGATACTCGTGAGAAACAATTCGATGTAAAGTTACGCGATTGCTTCATACCCAACCAGATATTTTCCGAAGAAAGATTGAGCATATATTTAGCCCACTAGTATTGCTGGAGGTTTAACTCAAAATATTTTTTGTTAGACACATGGACAATCATATAGTCCGATAAAAAAAATTAAAACCTTTATGTAAAATTATTTTTAACAAATTTGTATGTAAGAAATATATTATGCATGCAATAATATTATGTATTTCTGACAAATATATGATTTACAGTGCGATAAAATAAGTGCTATGTAAAATTTCTATTGGAACAGAATATGGAAAGAGTTTCCATATTCTGTTCCAATAGAAATTTTAAGAACAGAGTTTTTAACACGACCAATAACAATCTAGTAATGAAAACATCAATAACCTCGATCAAGGTTTTAAACGTTGAATTGTACCAAATTAATTACACTTTAATTATAAAGAAGGCTGTATTGGTAAATAATCTGAATATAAATTAACAGACAAAGTAATATATAATTGAATAATATTAATTAAACTATATACCTATATTTGTTATCTTTTCCTATTATTAAACATTTATCATTATTTTTATTTTTCATTTGTTTCATTCAGGCATGTATTTCAACTGTAGTATAAAAAAATAGTTTTATACTACAGTGGTGACAAACAAGCATACGGTCCATTTGATGGTAAAAGGTTACCGTAGCCTATGGACTCTTAAAAACCCTAAAACCCTGGTGGGTTTGATAAATGCGAGTTGCCAACCCTAAAGAAACCTTATAACTTAAAAAAGCCCATGTTGTCTCTCGAGAAAACCTTGACTGGTAGATCATTACACAATCAAAGTATATTATGGAGCAGTTTTCTCTGAAACCGCACTATCCGAGACCACTATAGTTTTAGCGTATGAATTCCCCGTCTAACGTTTACGTAAGATTTGTGAATTACTTTTATTTATTTAAAGAATAATTTAAATTAATATTGTTACAAAAAGTATATACCGGAGTACAATCTTGAAGCTGCAGACAAATGTTACTATTTATATTTAGTGAACTTGACAGACAGAGAGTGAGACATTATTATGGGATCATTTTGACCAAAACTTTGTTTGCTTACGTTTATATTAAATAATATTAAAACTGAGTATGATTATACTACTAATGTTAATATTTGAATACTGCACGTGTAATAAAGAGTGTAAATTTGAGCACTAGTTGAATCTATATCAAACAAAAAAAGTGATCTTAATCAAACAAAACAGAGCGGGTATTGGGTGAAAGTGCTACTTTATTCATTATGAATACAGATAATTCTCTTAAATTTACTGCTACTGCTACTTTCAATCCTATTTATGACTTCATCATAGTGACAGTAAATTGGAGTATTATGGAAAATTGAAATTAAAAAATCATTTATTCCTGTAGGACATTTAGTCACTTAACGTAATTTTTTTTTACATTTTATTTTCTATTTATTATTATATTTTCCCTACCGTCCAGTTCGGTATATAGATCCAATTAAGAAGAACTGACAAAAATTTAATTACTTTTTTTTAAAGTCATTTTATTTACAATGTGTATTTCTATAGGTATATATATCTAATATTAAATGAAAATCCAGTGCATGAACAACTATTGCCACTTGGAATGTACTATAATTGTATGTTAATACATGAAAATTCTTGATGAATTCAATTTTTATTAAGAAGATTTGGCTGTATGGTCTTTTTATTTATTTGCCTTTTTATTTGTGAATACAATATACTACGTCTACTACATAATGTCCTCTGTTATTTAATGTTACAGAGACTCACTTATCACTAATGCTAATAAATTATGAGCAGTATCAATACAAACATTAAGATTACAAACTATTGGTGTGCCGTGATCCCTCTAATGCCACCCTTCGCAAACTTTATTGACCGAGACAGAGTTAACAAAATAAATGGCTCAAATTTCTACACCCGTAATGAATACATAGGAGGGTAGATGAATAAATCATTGTTGCATTTTGGACTATACATTAGAGCATGGGACAAGTTACAAGCAATAAAGTACCATCTCATAGGTTGCAGCGTTATCAAGAACTTATACAGAATTATAATTTTAAAGCATTACATAAAATAATATTTTTTAGTATATATTTTAGTATATAAATAAGAAAAAACTATATATTTATGTCTTTACAAACTTTATTGATTAATAGAGGCAAATTAAATAAAAGAAATATTTTTGAAGATCTGTATATTATATATGTGTATATAATATAGCGAACTCCTTGATGAATTTTAAGTTTTTTATATAATATATATATATATATATATATATTATTATATTGAATATATTAAATATAAATACATATAAGTACTATATTTTCTAATATTGTAAAAGTTATTGTAGTCTGCCTTATGTGTTATTTACGGATTCTTTTTTTATATTCTCTTGTATCCACTTGTCAATGTTGGCACAATGAACTACTAATAAATGTTTATATTTATAACATAAAATACATGTCTTTTTTTCATACCGTCTTCGATATCTGGAATAAATGAACTGACAAGCACGCTCGCTACCATTTCGCTTGTAGTTCTCGCGTGCGCTTTAAACTTGGGCTATACAATAGAAAAGCGGCACGCGTCGCTACACCGGATGTCGATGACGAGCGCGTGCGCCGACGATTCCAACGCTCAATGGATCATACGGAGGCGCACTTAAAACATTTTTATTGTAACCCGCCGGCAACCATTGTCAACTCCCTCCTTTCAAGATACACCCTCGTTATGCGAGATTTCGATGCATAATTAGAAATTTTGTAGATATCATATCTAACTAACAGTACATACATTTATATCTCTGAAATAAGAGGGAGGTTTCATACGAAGTTGGATATTCGAATACCTCTGATACTGCACATACATTTAATTCTGCAGACAGCTATTTTCCTTGCTGTTTACCCTTTAAACAGCGAGTAAAATTGCTGTCTTGACAGTGAAATTACAGGGTTCGAAAGCATAACAACTAAGTCATGGGAAATGAAAACTCTTAGATGATTTTTTTATAGGCTATTATCAGGTGCTAAGACATAGTAACACTGTGATCTGTATAGATATACCTATATTGTGAACGCCCTTATACAAAGTTCGCTATCTAGACTCGTAAGGGACAAGAATTGAAGAATGTTCTTAGGAGCGATTTTATTTACCTCCTCAGCATAGAGTGTATATTTTCTAAAGGAAATAACTACAGGCATTACTATATACGAGTATATACCTCAACGCCTACTCATCTCCAGATAAAACGTAAATGTATCTTACAAATTAATATTATTATTATATACATTTATTATTAATTTTCTGAAGTTAACTGAAGGTATTTATGTTCAAAATATACGAATATATGCATTATCTTCGTTTATTTTGAATATATATTATATATATAAATGTGATGTAAATATTCATTTCAGTAAACAGAACTAGGTTGTATAGTCTAACCATTGCCTGACATATAAAAAATATGAGACAAAAGTGAAATAAAATTTTTGTCTGACATTGTATGACATGTTTTTATTTGTAATATTTTTTGTAAATATATTGTATGTCAATTATTGTATTTAATTTAAAAAAATGGCTAATAAGGAATATTATGAGCGCTGGCTAAAAATCAAAGAGCAAATGAAGACAACAATATCTGAAGACACTAGACTGAACGAATTGGCGACATTGTTTGTCGGCATTAAACCCCAAGCAACTGCTGTCGAATTAGTTGCCAGAGTATATTGTAAGTATTGTGAACTCTATAACAAGCTCTGTGATTGTTACGATCAAATGGAGCAAGTTCAGCGACGACAATATATAAAGAAACTTATCGACGCTATAACATGCCGGCTTCTTGAGCTAAAATGCACTTTAGAGCAAGTTGAAGTTTTCGAATTTACTTACTCAGACAACGCCTTACAACAGTTATTAATGGCGCCTCAAGACGTACAGATTCTCTGTCCATTTTTTTATCCATTTGAAATACGGCAGCAAGAAATGCAATACATTATAGACGAGATATTTGCGGGTAATCGCATTGGAAATCCCACTCCAACTCCTTCAGAAATTGAACGTAAGAAAGAAGAGTATTTAGAAGAAGAAAAAAGAAAACAAGAAGAGAAAGACGCAGAAATTAAAAGAAAGCTTGCTATGGGTGAAGATATCTCTTTATCTGAGAACTCTGTTACTCTTTCTCCTCAAGAATTAGAAGAAATAAAATCAAGAGAAGAATATGAGAAACATATTAATACTATTCAAAAGATGGAAAGATCAAGATTAGTAACGAGGGAAAAAACACGCAAATATAACAAAGATATCAACTTATACCTAGAGCTCGCTGGACTAAAAGCTCCACAGGTTAGAGAAGAATTAAGAATTAGAGCCGCAATTTTAATTCAAAAAGTATACAGACGTTTCATGGAGATTAAAAGAGAACAAAAGAGAGAAAAGCTACTCCGAATAAAACTTGGTATGATAATACCTTCATGGTCTCCACCCTCAGCTCATATTCGATTGGACGAGATTAAAGAACAACGTAGAAATTATCGACGTAAATATTACGAAAAATGGATTGAAGATAATATTAAAGAAAATTCACGTGTTTTACGATTACGTGAAGGAGATATAATGGAGGATATCTCAGCTGAAATTAGACAGTGGTTTCAAGAATGGTACAATGAGGTAAGATTATTTGATGAATTTCCGTGGCCCGAAGAAGGAGGATCCATCTTAGTGGTAAAAGGTGAAACATTTACTATAGAAGAATACGTTAATTGGCGTACTGCAGAAGAAAAAAGATTGAAAGCTGAAGCTGGAGCACCAAAAAGTAAAGAACAAATAAAAGCTGAAAAAATTGCAGCACGAGAGGAAAAAAAGCGACTAGCCTTTGAGGAAAAAGAAAGAGAGAAAAAACGTTTAATTGATTATAAAAAATCAAGATTGAATCCAAACAATGATCCCGGAATATACATAACAATCAGTAAGACTTTAGATCAACTACAATATACATGGTTTAACTATCAAAATCAGTGGCAAAGTATTGACAGTACTGACCCCTCAGTAGATGCTATAAAAGGTTACATTATGCAACTTATAACAGAAAACGCATATAAGGACGTGCAATTACAGCTTCGTCCGATAGTCGATGAAATGATGAAATTAGAGTTAAATCTATTACGGAATTCTCTTAAGGAAGATTATCTAATTGCTGGTATTTCTAAGCCACCACAGAGTAAGAAAAGGAAGAAGCCCAAGAAAGTAAAGCCACCTAAACCAGATAAAGTTAGTCCGGCATTTATGTTTCAACAATTAGTAGATGCAGGCATTGTAAAAAAGTATCCCCGTACCACACTTGATGATTATTGGGGTGATCAAAATTATGCTGCAGCTGATATGAGAGCTATAATTTGGACACCATCTTTTCCGTCACCTTGTATTGGAGATGTCAGAGAACAAGTCAGAAATAGATGCCTCTTGACCCTCGGCTGTTCATGTCCAAATGCAGTAAGATCTCAATTATTAGTGGGTTCTAAAGCTGCAGGCAAGAGAACTTTAATTTACGCTATAGCAACAGAAACCAATTCAATTCTTATAGATTTATCTCCTATGAATATTTACAATAAATTCCCGGGGCCAAAAAACTTAAAAACTATGTTCACATTTGTCAGTAGAATAAGTAAATTAATGCAGCCTACTGTAATAATGGTGGACAATGCAGACAAATTATTCTATAAAAAAGTTCCTAAAGAGGAAAAGTTATTCGACCCGACCAGGTTACAAAAGGATTTTTACAAAGAAGTGATAAAACCTATTCAATCCAACGACAAAATATTGGTTCTTGGGACTGCGACGGAGCCGTGGTTTGCTAAGAATCCTCTGATGTACAAAGTATTTCCTTCCCTTATTCTTATTCCGCGGACAGATTACGGAAGTTTGTCGTTGGTTCTCACCAAGATACTTATGAAATATCACGGAGTCGATCGTAATTTTAATGTTCACTCGGTGGCACAAGCTTTACGGGGATACGATATCAACACAATACGTAAAGCAGTTGCTGACTTGTTGGACGGTAACCGAGTGGCACAGCTGTATAATAGGCCTTTAGACCCGATGGAGGTGGTGAACGCAGTATTAGAGTACGATACTGTCAAATACACTGATGCGGAAGATTTTGATTTGTTCCAGCAATGGTACAATGGTTACTCGCCTTGGGGACAGAAATATGTTGACTATATGCTGATGTTAGAATCACAACTATTATACAAGTTAAAGAATGACAAGAAAAATGAGAAAAAAGAATAGGTTAGGACATTTACTATTATAATGTCTTGTGTAATTCAAATAATCCATTTCAATTACGTTAAATTCCGCTGCATGTTTTTTAATTTATTAAAGACTTTGTACTTCCTTCACAATTTTCTTTAATTAATTAATTATTATATAAGTAAGCACAATTATTATACAAATAAGTCAACGCATTAAAATTCTAAAACAACCTCTATAAACACAATGATCAACATAATATTTATACATTTTATAAAATATGATTAACGCTAATCAAAATAAAAACCAAATGTAATCTTTAAATAGCAGTACTTGTAAGTCGGTGCTCATAGAGGGTTGCTCGGAGAGGGTGCTAAAATAGTCCTGTTTATCTTGCTCCAACCCCGGTTTTGAAAATTCCTCGAATTAATGGTAGAGGGCGCTAACAATAAAGCACATTTCTAATCAATCTGCTATTTATACATAGAGGGCGCTGCTAGGACTACTTTGAATTGTATAGCTCATGTCAAATTCTATGTATTTATTATACAAGACAAATAATACTTTCCTATTTTTTTATTATTGTATTCCATGTTTTATTACTTAAACTGAGACAGAAACATGAGTTACATTGTTTAACTAATACGAATAAAAAATTAGTTTAAATTTAATCAATCTTCATGATTAGTTTTATAATTCTATAATTAGGGGAACAGCTTCGATTTCCCTCTGTTCCACAAGGTGGACCCCTGACCCGCACTCAACATACTTGATTGTTTTATGTAATCCAATTTTGTTGATATTACTTAATTTTAATCACTAAGGAGTACATTTCTTCAATTTCAAACACAAACAGCTTTTTATAGACTTATATGTCGTTTCATGACCAATCGTTATAATAATAACAATAAGGCAATACTCATCATAGTATGATGAGTGTAATTTGTCACCTCTATGAGGAGTGATAGACTAATCGGGATTGCGCCAAATTAGATCATGAAAGCCATTTAACTATCGACATGGAAACTATAAACGGGAAGTCAATCCGTCACAACTGCGCAGGCAATAACACAAACCCAAAAGTAGATCGGGCATAGGTGCTCTGAACAATAGTCGGGTTCCTACCGAAGCCGCTGGTCCCCGGCGTCACCTCCGGGTCTCCGGACGCCCCTGTCTCCGTTACTCGCCGCCATTTCCGTCGAGTGGGTCCGCCGGGGCTGGTAGGGGGAGGGGGGGAGGGGGCGTGGGAGGTTCCGATGCTCAACTACAATAGCCCCTTTATGTTTTCCCATCGCGTTGCCGCTAATCTACTAACTGATAATGTGATTAGTTGGTCGCTTCGCTGTTCATATGTAAAACGTTTGAAATTCACAATTTACTGATATGCTACTGTACTGCGGATTATTGAAAATTGCTTTGTTATAGCAATTTCGTGTGACTTATATTTTGCGTAGTGTCTTGTTTGCACTGTAAGAATCGGTGTATTTTCTAATATTGTGAAGTAGTAGGTGGTTGCTGGTACTAGTTCTACTTATACATCAGAATAACAGACAGATTATAAGTATTAACAGTTTTAATATAAATATTATAAACTTACTATTTTTTGAGATAAAAGATAACCGTATGTCGTCTTGCAATAAGATTCATCCTATTTAAGTTTCTTGCTAGTTGTTCTCAACTGAAATAGCTAAACCAACTGGCCGCTAGGTATAGTATTAAGAAATTAATATACACGAGTATATATATGTATATATATATGCAACGACGAACTGTGCCTCTGTGCCTTTCTATACTGCGCCAATAATACGCAGATTTTAAAGATTTTATTCCAATTAACTCTTCTGGCTCGAATCTAGTCCAATAGTTTGGTAATAAAAAGATTTAGTTGTATCTTATGGCATTTCCGAATTGGTACGATATTGAGACTTTCAAGAAAAAGAGTTTGTTCTTTCTTAAAAGGTCGACAACGCACTTGCAATTCGTCTGGTGTTGCGGGTGGTCACTGGCGGCAGTAAAGACTTACCATCAGTGTTGAAGGCTCGTTTGTCCCCTAAGCTATAAAAAGAAATAGCAAGTAAATATTAAAAAAAAAACAATTTCTCTCGCTTTAGATTTTTATTTTGAATGATTTTTATATTGACAACAAGTGGACTGCATACAATCTACTGCGTTCAATACCTACACATGGGATTGTTGAGACTTAACGTCTACGCTTGCGATTAAAGAAGAATTAATTTATTCCAACACAACATTATTACAGTAACATGTTGAACATAAACACCTATTTCCGCCCATCTCAAGGATTAACTTCATGAGATGGGCGGAAATATGTGTAGTATATGTATAAATAATAGTCCACTAGTTGTCAATATAGGTGATATTGGCATTTGTACTCTAAATAAAGCAAGTGCCTGTGTAGTTTGCTCAATTAATAAACGCGTCATTATGAGAATTGTAATCCGATTGCGATTTAGGCGTTAGTCTAAAAAAATAACTAATAAGTAGATCCACAAACAGTCAGAATAACTAAACTTTAAAAATAAAGAAGATGCCGAGTTAAACAAACTTTAATGTAAACAACAATAAAAACATAATTCTGTTCACAATGCTGCTGGCTGTTGCTTTGACTTCGTGTACAGATATTTAATTTTAAACCTCAAATCGTTGGCGTCATATTTCATCATGTTTAAAGGTAAATACCTTTAAACTATTCAGTAGTTATTTACAGACGTCTCACTATATTTTTACTATGAGACTCCTTTTGTGAGATAGACAGTTTTTATGGTGTCTTTCACTAAAGCAGGGCGATACCCGCGATTACCGTCGGAGTTGTGGTAGACTATCATTGCGATCTCTAGAGTCCGGCAATAGGCTCTTCGTCGGGATACCTTGGAAATTTTAGTGAATAGATGTCACATAAAACCCGTTCGCCGTCCCGAGGTGGACGTTACCACGGACGGACCATAAGGAAACTTATCTAAACAAAAAAGTTAAAGATAAAAACTGCTGAAGAATTTAGGGTATTTAATGTTTAACAATGGAAAATAGAATGTCGCGGCTGCCTGTACTTATTAGGCACATTGATTGAAGTAGAAAAAGTATAATCCATCACATTTAAAATAAGTTTCGTTGCTAAGTAACAGTTTGTATGTAACGTGCAACTGCAATCGGAACGAAGTAAATTATATTTACAACTGTATACGTAATCCACTGAATATCTCTATCAGGTTATGGGCTAGCACTAAAGTGAATATAATTTAGTGAATTCTAGAATATAGTGGTGAAAACAAATCAAAATTCTGAAAATGGCAGATGACGATACGTCGAGTCATGGAATGTACGGTATCATGAAACTCAAGGGTGCTTCGGACTTTCCCAACTGGAAATTTCAAGTACGTAATTATCTTGAAAATAAGGATTTATGGAAGATAATAGAGTTGGAACACTTTGATGACAAATTCAAAGATGACGACCGTAAAGCCCGTACTACGATTTGTTTATTATTAGATTCCTCATGTTTTACTCATGTATATAATGCGAAGACTGCTAGAGAAGTATGGTTGAGACTCTGCAGAGCATTTGAGGATAAAGGTTGGGGAAGACGCATCACGTTACAGCGACAGCTTTGGCAATGCAAACTTGAAAATTTCGACTCTATGAATAAGTATATATCGCAAATAATATACTTATCACAGCAGTTAGCTGATATTGATGCAGAAATATCAGATGATTGGATTATTTCCATCATGTTAAGTGGTTTGACTGCGGAATATAACCCGCTCATAATGGCTGTGGATAATTGTGGGAAAACAATTACTCTTGAGCAAATAAAAACCAAACTGCTACAGGAATCGAATAGACAGTCGGAGGGAAACTCAAGTGAAGTACAAGCTCTATCTGTAAATAAAGCACGAAAATCTGCGGGATCATATAAAAAACCAACCGATCGTAAGCAGATGACTTTTAAGTGCTTCAAGTGTCATAAACCAGGACACAAGGCATCAGAATGCAAAGAGACAAAGCAATATACTAAGAATGTCTCTGGGTTAGTTTGTCTGAACATGGGAGAAACTAATTCGAAAAATTGGTATCTGGACAGTGGCTGTTCTAATCATATGACGCACGATAAAAATAAGATATCGAATTACAAAAGTCAAAAAAGTGACTTAAAAGTGAAAGTAGCGAATGGTCAAGAATTACCAGTACAGGGAAAAGGAAATGTCGAACTATATACAAATGGAACATCTAAATTGAATTTAGAAGATGTTTTACACGTTCCCGATTTGTCCATGAACTTAGTCTCGGCAAGCAAACTCATAAAAAATAATTTTGAAATTAATTTAAACCAAGAAGGTTGCAGCATTAAGAAAGAAAATAAAATTATTGCGGTTTGTCAAGAAGTTGGCGGAATATATGAAATAAAGAAAAACCGATAGTCAACTTGACATTGTCAAATAAATTAATTTCAAATCTTTGGCATAAACGTTTGGCTCACCTAAGTAAAAAAAATATGTACAAATTGAATGGATTAGTAACTGGTATGAATTTAAAATCGTCAAATTTAAGTGAACCTTTAAAAATCAAGGTACAAGAGCTACGGATATCTTGGAAATAGTGCACACTGATCTCTGTGGCCCAATTGAAACAAATTCTCTAAGCGGATGCAGGTACATGTTATTATTTATTGACGATTTTTCAAGAAAGACACATGTATATTTTTTGAGAAATAAAAATCAAACATTTGCTAAATTTCGCGAATACAAGGCAGAAGTAGAGAAACAAACAAACAAATCTATTAAATGTCTAAGATCTGACAACGGTTCAGAGTATTGTAATCGTGTTTTTGACAAATTTTTGAAGTCCTCAGGTATACAACATCAGACCACCGTACCATATACACCTAAACAAAATGGTGTAGCTGAACGAGCAAACAGATCCATCATGGAGAAGATGAGAACATTGCTTTATGAAGCAAATCTCAGTAAGAAATTTTGGGCAGAGGCAGTGAACACCGTAACATATTTAAAGAACAGAAGAAATTATTAGTATTTTAACAGATTTAATTTTGGATATGTTTTTTGCTAGTAGTTCTATTGTTTACTCT